GTGCGCATCAATTCATCAACGTGACAGCGCAACCCGCGCATGAAATCATGCATTAGCACTGACTCCCGAATGGATTCGGCGAGCAAGCTGCGTTCCGCAACTAATTCCCATTGCTTACCTGTTGCACTGCCTCGTGCTCGGGTGGAGACATGCTACGACTTAGTGCGACTTGCTCCCCAAGGGGTCAAAGCTGTGGCCGCGCCGCCACGGCATGAGACAACCAATCGTAATGATAGATTGGGCGAGCGGGTCTGATCGCGAGCCGCGAGCCAGAATACTATACTGCGCTGCACCCTCGTCGTCGTCGCCCTCCCTCTCATCCTCCTCTTCCTCCTCCTCCCTCCTCCTCCTCCTCCTCCTCCTCCGTGCTATGCTGTGCAATGCGGTAGACCACACAGGAGACCCGAGACCGTGAGGCCACGACCAGAGGCCACGACCAACGACCACGGGGCCACGACGGGAGACCGCGGGCCCCGACCAGGGACCGCAAAGAGGAGGAGGAGGAGCGAGGCGGTGTCTACAGCGTGGCAATGCGATCCATGATGTGTGAATTGTGCCGTGCCCAGGGCGGTCATCTCTGAGAGTCCCACTCCTGGATTCTCCCCCTAACGGGGACCCTCTGCTCGAACTCAGGACCCCCTCACTTGGCCATCATCATCTTCACGAACTCCTCGTAGTTGATCTGGCCGTCACCATCGACATCAGCTTCGCGAATCATCTCGTCGACCTCCTCGTCCGTGAGCTTCTCCCCAAGGTTGGTCATCACGTGGCGCAGCTCCGCAGCACTGATGAAGCCGTTGCCGTCACGATCGAAGACCTTGAAGGCCTCGATCAGCTCCTCCTCGGTATCAGTATCCTTCATTTTGCGCGCCATCAGAGACAGAAACTCGGGAAAGTCGATCGTGCCATTCCCGTCAGCGTCCACCTCGTTGATCATGTCCTGCAGCTCGGCCTCGGTGGGGTTCTGCCCCAGCGAGCGCATCACGGTGCCCAGCTCCTTGGTCGTGATGGTCCCGTCGCCGTCCTTGTCGAACAGCGAGAATGCCTCCTTGAACTCGGCGATCTGCTCCTCAGTCAGCTGGTCCGCCATTGCAAAACGTGCGGGGCGGTTCGGCCGTGGACGGGGGTGGGCAGTGTGCGCGTCTCGGGCTCGGGCACGCGGGGCTTGAGCCAAAATGGCTACGGAGGAGGAGGAGGAGGGGGAGGAGGAGGAGGGGGGGAGGAGGAGGAGGAGGAGGAGGAGGAGGAGGAGGAGGAGGAGGAGGAAGGAGGGAGGAGGAGGAGGAGGAGGAGGAGGAGGAGGAGGAGGAGGAGGAGGAGGAGGAGGAGGAGGAGGAGGAGGAGGAGGAGGGGAGGAGGGGAGGGGGGGGGGAGGGGAGGAGGAGGAGGAGGAGGAGGAGGAGGAGGAGGAGGGGGAGGAGGAGGGGGAGGAGGAGGGGGAGGAGGAGACCAGAGGCCACGGGCCACGGATTCGGGATCGCGCAGTCCACGCACTGGCCCCGGAAACATCCACCCCCTACAGCCACGCGTTGTACACGATGGGCCGATTTTTCCATCACCGCTGCCACAGGCGGGAGGAGGAGGCTGAGGAGGGGGAGGAGGAGGAGAAAGAGGACCTCCTTCCTCATCCTCCCTTCTCCCCCGTTCTAGCCATGGTAGTGGTGGTGGAGAACTGGCCCATCAGTATACACATACCACAAAAGTACACATACATACAAGGTGTCCTGGCAATCCGCCGACCCCTTGGGGATCATCGGCGTGTGGGATGCTTCCCCCTCCCCAGACCCCTCCCCCCGGAGCCCGGTCCGGTCGATTTGGAGGGAGGAGGGGGGGCCGTCCGTCCCGAACTCATCAGGGGGGTCCGGCCCTTCACGGGCTCCTTTGGGAGGTCCACGACAGCTTCTGGGGCCGCCCACGAGGTCCCCAAGACGGTCCAAGAGGGCCCCGGGACGCCGAAAGATCGTTCCAAGACGCCTAACATGGGCCGAAAGATCGTTCCAAGACGCCGAACATAGGCCGAAGACGGCCCAAGAGGCCGCCAAGACGTTCCAAGAGGCCTCCCAGGAGGCCTCCAAGAGGCCCGAATCTTCAAATTCCCGGAGGAAAACGTGCATGTCTAGCACATACGATGTTTCCTCCTTCGCAGCGCGGAAGCCCTTCCAAAATGCCGCCAAGACCGCCCTATGACGGCCCCATAGGCTCCCAAGAAGCCCCCAACACGGCACAAGAGGCGCCCAAAACGACCCCAAAGGGCTCCAAGACGACCCGAAGAGGGGCCCGAAAGGGGGGCCACGAAACGAAAATTCCAGCCGTCCGCCCCTAGAGGCTCCCAGGAGGCCACAAGAGGCTCCAACATGATCGACCCACGAACCCGGAAAGGAATATATAAATGTAACGCATGGCAGCGTTTTCAAAGACACCTGATTGGATGACAGGCAAACGCAATGCTGAACGTATCGATCTTGATCTACCGTGCCGAGGGCTGTGCTGTGCTGCACCGTGCTGAACTGCGATGTGCCATGCCGCGGTTGTGCTCTGTAGCGTCGTGGATCGAGTCTTCCTTTGCATCCGAGTCCTGACCGAACTGATCTGGATCTTAAGTATCTGCCCCAAACCTAATTGACAGGGGGACATGCCAGGAGGACGCGCCGCGAAACGTCCCAAGGGACGCGCCAGGCGACGTGCCAGGGGACGTGCCATGGGGTCGCACCGCGGGACGTGCCAAGAGGACGCGCTACGGAACGTGCCGATGGATGTGCCACGGAATGTGCCAGGGGACGCGCCACGCGACGTGCCAGGGGGACTCGCCAAAGGACGCCCCACGGAACGTGCCAAGGAACGTGCCAGGTTGCAATGCTGATTGTATCAATCTTGATGTACCGTGCCGAAGTCTGCGCTGTGCTGCAACGTGCTGAATTGCGATGTGCCATGCCGCGGTTGTGCTCTGTAGCGTCGTGGATCGAGTCTTCCTTTGCATCCGAGTCCTGACCGAACTGATCTGGATCTTAAGCTCGAGCTGCCTGAACACATAGTATCTGCCGCAGAGCTAATTGACAGGGGGACATGCCAGGAGGACGCGCCGCGGAACGTCTCAAGGGACGCGCCAGGCGACATGCCAGGGGACGTGCCATGGGGACGCACCGCGGGACGTGCCAAGGGGACGCGCTACGGAACGTGCTGGGGACAAGCGTTTCGCTCGAGACATCCTGTCAAAATCCTCATTCTAGACATCCGCCTGAGCGACCTGGACACGTGAAGACAAACGTTTCGCTCAACACATCCTCAACACATTCTCATGCTAGACATCCGCCTGGGCGAACTGGACACGTGAAAACAACTAGTTCGCTCGAGACATCCTCAACACATCTTCATGTGAGACGTCCGCCTGGGTGACCTGGGCACGTGAAAACAAGCGTTTCGCTCGAGACGTTTTCAACACCTCCTCATTCTAGACATCCGCCTTGGCGACCTGTACACGTGAAAGCAAACGTCTCGCTCGAGACATCCTCAACACATCTTCATGTTAGACATCCGCCTGGGCGACCTGGACACGTGAAAACAAGCGTATCTCTCGAGACATTCTCGATACATCCTCATGCTAGACATCCGCCTGGGCGACCTGGACACGTGAAAACAAGCCTCTGGTTCGAGACATCCTCAACAAATCCTCATGCTAGACATCTGTCTGGGCCACCTGGAGGCGTGAAACCAAGCGTCTCGCTCGAGACATCCTCAAGATCTGGGCACGTGAAAACAAGCAACCCACTTGAGAGATCCTCAGAATTCAGGTCCCCAGGACAGGACAAGCTATAACACAAAACAAGCGTTTCGCTCGAGACATCCTCAACACATTCTGAAAAACAAGCGTTTCGCTCGAGACATCCTCAAAAATTAATTCGCCGGCCCTTCGCGACCTCATTATTTATCGCAAAGGAATTCGCCGGCCCATCTCTGAGGGTAAACAGCTAAAAGAGAACCCTGGGCCCACGCCCTTTCCGGGAAAAACAAGCGTTTCGCTGGAGACATCCTCAAAGATGATTTCGCCGGCCCTACGCGACCTCGTTTTTTATCGCAAAATAATTTCGCCGGCCCTACAGCCGTCAGAACCAAGGGGTAAACACACTAAAAGAGAACCCTGGGCCCGAGCCCTTTCCGGGAAAACGACTCCGGATGAGGAGCCCGTCCCGGGGGATGTGGCAAGACCTTCTGGGGGTCGGCGGCATGAAAGCATCACGACGTCGGGGGTTTGGGTAGGTCCCACCGGAGAGGCGAGCCACCGTCCACTGAGCGGCTGCACAGCATGCGCTCTGGGCTGAGGGGCAATGCTGGTGCGGGAATGGGTCGCTCCGGGGAGGGAACCGTCGACCTGGAATCGGCGACGCATCGCGGACAGATCGGCGGCGGGCCCCCGAGAGCGAAACCCGACGTTCCTGGGCGGCGTGATGAGGCAGCGGGGCCCCGTCGGCGCGGACTTGGCGGCGCAGGGTCGAGGCGTCCCCCGCTCACGCCGGTCCTCCTCGGTGGATCCTCGCCGTCCGGCTCTCGGGCCCCGCCGTCTGGCTCTCGGGCGGCCTGGGCCCCCCCCTGCAGGGCGCCCCCTCGGCGAGGCGCAGCTGCTGGAACGCAGCCCGAGGCCGGAGAGCCGCCGCGCACCGACGGAGACGTCCCCCCCCGCCCATAAGAACGCCTACCAGGCCGCCCCGGGGCCGGGGAGGAAGCGCGGCGGCGGCGAGGCGCCCCGCCACTCCGCGGAATCGGCGAGCCGGACCGGCGGCCGAAGCGAGGCGGACCCCGGCGGACTTCGGCAGCCAAGGCCGGCAGAGGTCGAATCGGCGGAAGTCGGCAGGCTGGTATAAGACCTCCAGTGAGACGTCGGAACCCAGATCGGAATCTCAGCTCGGATCGAATGGGAATCGAAAGCCATCGACATCGGATCGAGCCGGAGCAGCCGACGAGAGCCCTGCCCAGGGCCAGCCACGTGCCTACGGCCCGAAGGCGTCCGCGACGGTCTCGCCCGCCGAGGCCCCGCTCAGGAGCCGCCCGCCCGGCAGGGCCGCGTCGGCGCGGGCGAGCCCGGGGCCCAGCCTGCCCGCGCCCAACTCGCCCGCCAGCCAGTCGCGCAAGCCGGCGAGCGGCGCGCCGGGCGCCGCCGGGGCCTGGCAGCGCTCCAAACCGCCCAGGGTCAGGAAGCGCACCTCGCCAGGAAGGAAGCGGGTCCTGAGCTGTGGAGCCGCGTCTCGCCTCCTCGGGCCCTCCGCGGGCCCTGGGCCTGGCAGAGGACGGCTCGGGATGGAGATGTGGTCCTGAGGGGGGGGCCCGTTTCCTTCATGCCAGGCACCGCGTCGCCGTCGAGCGACGCCTGCAGAAGCAGCGTTCCACCGACGAGCAGGCTTGCGGTGTACGTCAGCGCTCCGTGCAGCGCTGGCACGGCGCACTGGCCGTCTTCATTGTCGCCGCAAGCCACGGCCGTGCCGTCGCTCCTGAGCAAGACCGTGTGCCTGCCTCCCGCGGCGACCTGCGTGTAGGTCCGGCCGCCGTCCAGCGCTGGCACGGCGCACTGGCCGAATGCATTGAGGCCGCAAGCCACGGCCGTGCCGTCGCTCCTGAGCAGGACCGTGTGCCAGGCTCCCGCGGCGACCTGCGTGTAGGTCCGGCCGCCGTCCAGCGCTGGCACGGCGCACTGGCCGTCTTCATTGTCGCCGCAAGCCACGGCCGTGCCGTCGCTCCTGAGCAAGACCGTGTGCCTGCCTCCCGCGGCGACCTGCGTGTAGGTCCGGCCGCCGTCCAGCGCTGGCACGGCGCACTGGCCGAATGCATTGAGGCCGCAAGCCACGGCCGTGCCGTCGCTCCTGAGCAGGACCGTGTGCCAGGCTCCCGCGGCGACCTGCGTGTAGGTCCGGCCGCCGTCCAGCGCTGGCACGGCGCACTGGCCGTCTTCATTGTCGCCGCAAGCCACGGCCGTGCCGTCGCTCCTGAGCAAGACCGTGTGCCTGCCTCCCGCGGCGACCTGCGTGTAGGTCCGGCCGCCGTCCAGCGCTGGCACGGCCCACTGGCCGTCTGTATTGTCGCCGCAGGCCACGGCCGTGCCGTCGCTCCTGAGCAGGACCGTGTGCCAGGCTCCCGCGGCGACCTGCGTGTAGGTCCAGCCGTCGTCCAGCGCTGGCACGGCGCACTGGCCGAATGCATTGTCGCCGCAGGCCACGGCCGTGCCGTCGCTCCTGAGCAAGACCGTGTGCCAGGCTCCCGCGGCGACCTGCGTGTAGGTCCAGCCGTCGTCCAGCGCTGGCACGGCGCACTGGCCGAATGCATTGTCGCCGCAAGCCACGGCCGTGCCGTCGCTCCTGAGCAGGACCGTGTGGTCGCCTCCCGCGGCGACCTGCGTGTAGGTCCGGCCGCCGTCCAGCGCTGGCACGGCGCACTGGCCGCCACTATTGTCGCCGCAGGCCACGGCCGTGCCGTCGCTCCTGAGCAGGACCGTGTGGTACCTTCCCGCGGCGACCATCCGTTGGCACGGCGGGAGGCCAGAGGGCCCACCGAGGGGTGCGTTTGGGCCAGGGAGCGCTCGGGGCTCCTGGGAGGGCCACGGCTTGAGCCGAAGCGGCCCAGGGGGGGAACGCGGCCCAAGGCTTCGGCCCGTGGCACAGCACAGCCCTCGGCAACACAGGACAGGACAGAAGCTCGAGCTGCCTGAACACATAGAAGCTGCCCCACAGCTACTTGACAGGGGAACATGCCAGGAGGACGCGTCGTCGTCGTGTTCGTCGTCGTCGTCGTCGTCGGCGTCGTCGTCGGCCCCGCCAGGACGACCAAACCTCAATTTAACACTTTGGCTGGTTTGGGGCAGCCTCGCATGTCACCATCATCATCCTCCCACCCCACCTCCCTCCCTCCCCCCCTCCCTCCCTATCTCTCCTCCTCCTCCCTCCCCCCTCCCTCCCTATCGCTCCCGTCCCCATCATCATCATCATCATCATCATCATCATCATCATCATCATCATCATCATCATCATCATCATCATCATCATCATCATCATCACCATCATCATCATCATCATCATATCCATCACCACCACCATCAACATCAACATCACCATCACCATCACCATCACCATCATCATCATCATCATCATCGTCATCATAAGCATCATCATCATCATCATCAGCATCATCATCATCAGCAGCATCATCATCATCATCGTCTTCATCATCATCATCGTCATCATAATCATCATCAGCATCAGCATCACCATCATCATCATCAGCATCAGCAGTAGCATCTCCATCATCATCATCATCATCATCATCATCATCATCATCATAATCATCACCATCATCACAATCATCATCACAATCATCCACTGCATCCGCATCATCATCGCAATCACCATCACCATCGTCGGAGTCACCATCATCCGAATCATCGGAGCCAACATCATCACCACCACCATAACCATCAGCATCGTCATCATTATCAGCACCAGCATCATCATCATTATCAGCATCATCATCATCATCATCATCATCACCGTCGTCGTCATTATCATCGTCGGCATCATCATCTTCATCATCATAATCAGCATCATCATCATAATCATCATCATCATTGTCATCATATTCCGTACCATCATCATGATCATCACCATCATCACCATCATCATCATCATCATCACCATCATCATCATCATCATCATCGTCATCATCGTCATCGTCATCGTCATCGTCATCGTGCTCACCCTCATGAGCTTCCTCCTCCACCACCTCCTCTCCCTCCTATCCCTGTTCCTGGGTGGCCCGGACACACACGTGGTTCCCTTTTGCCCCAGGAAGCTTCCCCAGGAAGCCATGCGACGGACCCCGGCTTGAACAGCACGTGTTCTTGCGCCACGTGTTTTCACGCTCGCCCCGCTCTCGGGCGTTAGGAGGCCATGTGTTTTCACGTTTGTCCCGCTCTCGGGCGTTAGGAACCCATGTGTTTTCACGTTCGTGCCGATCTCGGGCCTTAGGACCCCATGTGTTTTCACGCTGGTCCCGCCCTGGGACGTCAGGAACCCATGTGTTTTCACGCTTGTCCCGCCCCGGGGCGTCAGGAACCCACGTGTTTTCACGTGTCTGAGCCACCCAGGGCGAGGTCGCTAGCATCTGGTCGTTCGGGCCCGCAAAAGTGGGTGGAGGCACAAGAGCCAGAACAGCTCGGGACCACGTGCAAATTCACACTTTACCACGTAATGTATCGCAGAATAATTCCGCCGGCCCTACTCCCGCACGTAATTTCGCCGGCCCTACAGCCGTCGAAACCGGGGGGAACCAACTAAAAGAGAACCCTGGGCTCGAGCCCTTTCCGGGAAAAAGGCCACCAGACGCCCCCAAAAGGCCCCAAAGAGGCCCCAAGAGTCTCCCCAAAGGTCTCCAAGATGCCTCAAGGGGCCCCAAGAGGCCCCCAAATCGGTTTCGATATACTATGCTTCGGCCTTCACAGCGCGGGCGACCCTCAAAGATGCCTCCAAGACCGCCCTGAGACGGCCCCATAGGCTCCCAAGAAGCCCCCAACACGGCACTTGAGGCGCTTAATACGACCCAAAAGGGCTCCAAGACGGCCCTAAGAGGAGCCCGAAAGGGGGACCACGAAACGAAGATTCCAGCCGTCCGCCCCTAGAGTTGTAATGCTGGAACTCAGGCAAAGTGGGCCTTTTGCTGATTTTGTCCAAAATTCTAATACACATTGCCGAAGAGTTCAAAAAAAGTTCCAGAAAAGTTCAAACCAACGGCGCCGATTCTGACCCCCTCACCGATGCGCCCTCGCGGCGCCCATTCCCCGGGACACCTGTCACGCGCACCCAGGGTTCACGCTTGCGCTGCGATGTGCAAACTTACCGATCTGGCGAAAAACTCGCGCTCGCCTCGGCAGCCCGCCCGAACGACGACAGCGAACACATCTTACCAAAAAAAACCCACGCGCCACAGGGCGCGAACAGCAATGCGAGGCAGAGTTCGCTCGAACCACGTGGGCAACGCGCGAAATCGCACGCCCCGTGGCCACGTAACGCGCGACAGCCACAAGATCGCGCCAATAATTTACATGGAGGTCCTCACGACCCTCCTCTTACCCCTGGACCTCCCCCGCCATCGTTCCGATAGTCCCCCCCGCCCCTCCTCGGCGCCCAATCCCCCCCGGGAACCATCGGCCGCATGCCCGCCCCCACAGCCCCCCTCCCCCGCTTCGCCCTCGCCGCCGCCTCCGACCCACCCGGACCTGCTCGACGTCCTACTCCGCTCGGGCCTCATCTACTGCGCCCCCCTCGCCACCGCAGCGCTCGCGCTCTTTCTCGCTTAGGGGCTAAGGCCCAGCGTTTAGGGCCTGAAGTCGAGAGCCGAGGTTCTTGGCCACAAGCCCATGGCGCTATTATACAATAGCCTGGGCCTGAGCCCTAGGGCCCAGACCGCTAACTCCTCAGCCGAAGCCACAGGCCTGAGGCCCCGAGCCCATTGGCCCCAGACCTCCGACCCTCGGCCCGAGGACCTGCGTTCGCGGGCCTTGCGCTTCAAGCCAAAAGCCCTAAGCCCTTGACCTCTTTGCCCCATGTATAAAGCGCTGCATTTCTAAGCCCTCTGCCCGAAACCCTACACCGTAGACCCTGGGCCCTACTCAAAGCCTAGCGCCGAGGCCCTTGGGCGCAAGCCCGACGGCGTAAACCTGAGCCGCGACGCCTGAAGCCCGAGGCAGTAGGGCCAAGTCCCTGAAGCCCAAACCACACCCAAGGCCCCAAGCCGCTGAACCCTGGACGCCGCGCCTCAGCCCCCAGACCCTAGACCCTGGGCCTCTGGGCCCACGGCTCGGAGCCTTCGGACCAATGGCCTGGGTCCATGGGCCAAAGCCCAAATTCCTTGGCTGTGGCATCGATGCCTTGCGCCAGAGGTAGTAGGCCTGGGGTCCTGGGGCCCAAGCCAAACCTGAGACCCCTGGCCGCCCTGGCCCCTGGGCCCTCGGCGCCGCGCCCCAGAACCTATGTCTATGCCCGAAGTCCACGCCCCAATATCAGGTGCGCGGCACAGGGTCGGGGCCCTGCCGTACGCCGCGGGAATCACACTCCCCAGCGGGACCCCGCCCCCCAAAAAGGCAAACGCGAAAGGGCCAGCGTCGGCGGGGCTTTGACATTCGGCGGCGAATTCCGGAGACCCCCCAGGGACCAGTAAAGTTTACCACCGCTGTTCCAAATGAAGTTCAAAACATGATGGACCCACGAACCCGGAAAGGGATATAGACATGTGGAGCATGGACACGTTTTCACGATACCCAACTGGGCAACACCTCACGAAACATCCCACGAGACACTTCACGAAACATCCCACGAGACACCTCACGAAACATTCCACGAGACACCTCACGAAACATTCCACGAGACACCCCGCGAAACATTCCACGAGACACCCCACGAAACATTCCACGACGACAGGCAACCACTCAACCAAGGCGGTGTGGTCGTGCTGGGGAGTGGTCGTGCTGGGGTGTGGTCGTGCTGGGGGGTGGTCGTGCTGGGGGGTGGTCGTGCTGGGGGGGTGGTCGTGCTGGGGGGTGGTCGTGCTGGGGCGTGGTCGTGCTGGGGCGTGGTCGTGCTGGGGCGTGGTCGTGCTGGGGTGTGGTCGTGCTGTGGTGAGGTCGTGCTGGGGTGTGGTCGTGCTGGGGTGTGGTCTTGCTGGGGTGGGGTCGTGCTGGGGTGGGGTCCTGCTGGGGTGTGGTCGTGCTGGGGTGTGGTCGTGCTGGGGTGGGGTCGTGCTTGGGTGGGGTCGTGCTGGGGTGTGGTCGTTCTGGGGTGTGGTCGTGCTGGGGTGTGGTCGTGCTAGGGTGGGGTCGTGCTGGGGTGGGGTCGTGCTGGGGTGTGGTCGTGCTGGGGTGTGGTCGTGCTGGGTGTGGTCGTCGCGGTCGGCTCTGCAAAACCAGCGTTTCGCTCGAGACATCCTCAACAAATTCTGAAACCAAGTTTCGCTCGAGACATCCCCAACTCTGCAAAACCAGCGTTTCGCTCGAGACATCCTCAACAAATTCTGAAAAGCAAGCGTTTCGCTCGAGACATCCTCAAAAATAATTTCGCCGGCCTCCTTCGACCTCGATATTTATCCGGGAAAAATTTCGCCGGCCTCCTTCAAGTTGGGCACCGGGGACATGTTTACATACTAAAAGAGAACCCTGGGCCTTTGCCCTTTCCGGGAAAAAATCCCCCCCCCCAAACAAAAAGTTCGAAAAAGTTCAAAAAATAGTTCAAAAACGTATAGAAAATGAAGGTCCCCCAACAAAGTGCAAAAAACATCATAACAAAAATTCAAAGTCCCCAAAAAGTTCGTCAAACAAGTTCAAAAAAGTTCGAAGTTTTAAAAAAAAAAACCAAACAAAGTTCAAAAAGTTCAAAAAAGTTCAAAAAAGAAAAACAAACAATTAAAGAAACAACGGGGTCCCAAGAAAAGTTCAAACAAGTTCAAAACATGTTCCAAAACAATTCAAAACATGTGCCGCTTCCGGGAATGTCCCAAAAACAGCTACAGCAGATTCGCCGTACCCGGGGGAGTTCTCGCGGGGCGCTCCCATTGCCCGGGGCGCCCCTGGGCGCCAAGGTCCCTGGCGGCGCCTCGCAGGGCGCCTTCCGGAAATTTCAGTGTACGTTCCAATGTCTGAGGTCTGAGGTCGAGGG